GTGACAAAAATAGTGTGGTACTTGAACAAAAACAGTCATATAGGCCAATGGAACATAAAAGAGAAACAAGAAATATATTTATGTATTTACAACTAATGTATTTTTGATACAGGTGACAGTTTCTTAGGAAAAGGACAGTATCTTCAATAAATGATGTTGAGAAAACTTTATAGCCACATGCAGAGCAATAAGTCCCTCATCTTACTCCATATATAAAAATAAACTCAAAATATATTAAATACTTACATGTAAGGCCTGAAACTCTGAAACTACTACAAAAAATATAGACTGAAGGCCCTATAAGATTGGTTTGGGCAGTAAATTTTTTTAATTAAACCTCAAAATCCCAGGAAACTAAAGAAAAAATAGACGAGTCAGATTACTTCAAATTAAAAAGTTGCTGCACAGAATCTGATACAATCAATAAGACAACTAATAAATCGGAGAACATTCTGCAAATCATACATGTGACAAGGGGTGAATATCAAGATTATGTAAGAAACTGACTATATAATAAAAAACAAATAACTATTAAAAATGAGCAAAAAACTTATTTTTTCACAAAAAGACATATATATGACCATAGATATTTTAAAATGCTCAGTGTCACTTATTATCAGAAAAAGGCAAGCCAAAAATATATGCGACATAAAATCACTCATATTGGAATGACTCTTATTAAAAAGAAAAAAAAAAGTGTTGGTAAAAATGTGAAGAAAAGGGAATGCTTGCATACCCCTGGTTTGAGTGTAAATAAGGACAGCCATTATAAAAACTGAAACAAATGTCTCAGTAAATCGCAAATCAAACTACCATATAACACAGCAATTTCACTATTGGATACATATACACACACACACACACACACACAAATTAGAATTAAAAAATTTGCACTTCTATGTTGTTTGCAATACTCTTCACAATAGCAAAAATATAAAATCAACATCTAATGAGTAAACAGAGACAATGTAGTATATATACCCGATGAGATACTATTTATCTTTTAGAAAGAAAATTCTATTATGTTCAATCACATGGATTAAACTAGAAGACATTATATTAGTTTAAATAAGCCAGGCACAGTAAGATTAAAATTTTATGATTTTACCTACACATGAATTATATAAAATTTAAACTCACTGAAGTAGAGAGTAAAATTGTGACCACCAGATGCCAAGGTATTTAGAAGGGGGCTCCAGAAAGATGTCTGTCAAAGAATACATAATTAGAGGCTGGGCGCGGTGCCTCAAGCTTGTAATCCCAGCACTTTGGGAGGCCGAGGCGGGTGGATCACGAGGTCAAGAGATCGAGACCATCCTGGTCAACATGGTGAAACCCCGTCTCTACTAAAAATACAAAAAATTAGCTGGGCATGGTGGCGCGTGCCTGTAATCCCAGCTACTCAGGAGGCTGAGGCAGGAGAATTGCCTGAACCCAGGAGGCGGAGGTTGCGGTGAGCCGAGATCGCGCCATTGCACTCCAGCCTGGGTAACATGAGAAAAACCCCATCTCAAAAAAAAAAAAAAAGAATAATTAGAGTGGATAGAAGTAATACAGGCAAAAGATTTATTGTACAGCATATTGTCTAAAGTTAATAGTAATGTATTTTTGAAAAATACTGGGACAATGTGATGTGCTGTCACCACAAAAATGTTAACTATGTGAGGTAAAGCATTAATTACCTAAAATTAAGCATCTGACAATGCATATAATATATATATATATATACACACACTTTAAAACATCATGTCTTACAGAATATGCTTTATCTGGCAAGTTGAAAATATATATTTAAAATATTATAGAAGGATACTGTTTTTTTCAAATACTCTCGTGTCTTTGTCATTAACTTGGCTAAATAGTATCAAAAATAGTTCTGTGCTGTTTTTGTCATTTAATTTTTTAGTCATAACCATAGGAGCTCTGACATTTAACATCATGTTCTGAACCCAGTACCATGCGTGAGAGGAGCCAATGTACATTAGAGCTTTTAAGCTTGAGACAGCAGGAGTTTCTGGTGCTGATTGCAATGGTATGAAAGATATTAACAGAGCAGGTGTTGCTTATGGTCTCAAGACTGGCCACTGTTTGAACACAGTAAGCAAATTTGCATGCAAAATAACAGGAAACGTTTTAATACAAAAGCTGTTATAATTTCTTCTCCAAAATTTTTCCAGAGAAAGTGACCAAAGAGTTGCCTAGAGGGAGGTGACTTAAAAAAACAGAACAAAACAAAAAACAAAAAAAAACTGTAGACTGAACTTCACCCCCTACAAAAATTATGAGTGAAAAATTTCTCCAAATTGTAATATGAAAAATAAACATTATTTAAAATTTTTAATCCTAAGAGTATATTCTATTATTTTGCAACATTTAACATTTACACTTAAAAATAGGAGTCTGTATGAACATTTAAGTTGTACTGTTATCATAGAAAATTTAGAATTCTTTACTTACTTAACTCTCATAAATTTAATTCCTAAGATATATTTTGTAACAAATTTTATAATTGCCACACTTCGTGTAAGAATCCAGTAAGATTCTTCTTTTACAAAGAAACAACAACAACAATAAACAATGCAAACTGATTTAATTCTTTCACATGTGGACAGTGTATGCCTCATATTTTAATTAACTAATCCGGAAGTTATATTGGTAAGAAAATTCTCCACTTAAAACCAATTTTTTAGCACATTAAAAATACCAACTTTCAGCTAAGCATGGTGGCTTGTGCCCGTAATCCCAGCACTTTGGGATGCCAAGCTAGGTAGATCCTGGCTCACTGCAACCTCCGCCTCCCTGGTTCAAGCGATTCTCCTGCCTCAGCCTCCCAAGTAGCTGGCAGTACAGGCATGTGCCACCATGCCCGGCTATTTTTTTTTTAATTTTTAGTAGAGATTGGATATCACCATGTTGGCCAGGATGGTCTTGATCTCTTGACCTCATGATCTGCCCACCTTGGCCTCCCAAAGTTCTGGAATTACAGGTGAGCAACAGTTTTCAAACCTTTGTGACAGTGTTCATATTTGTTAAGATTTATCTTCTGTATGAATTTTCTTATGTTTAGTAAGAGTTGAAGACCAGTTAAAGACTTTGTTACATTCTTCACATTTGTAGGATATGAATTATCTTATGTGTGATAAGGTGTGAGAAATGGTTACAGGCTTTGCCACACTCTTCACATTTGTAGGGCTAGTTTCCATTATGAATTATCTTATGTTCAGTAAGGTTTAAAAACCAGTTAAAAGCCTTGCAACATTCTTCATGTTTCCAAGGTTTCTCTCCAGTATAAATTGTTTATTAAGAATTGAAGAATGGGCCGGGCGCGGTGGCTCACACCTGTAATCCCAGCACTTTGGGAGGCCGAGGCGGGTGGATCATGAGGTCAAGAGATCGAGACCATCCTGGTCAACATGGTGAAACCCCGTCTCTACTAAAAATACAAAAAATTAGCTGGGCATGGTGGCGTGTGCCTGTAATCCCAGCTACTCAGGAGGCTGAGGCAGGAGAATTGCCTGAACCTAGGAGGCGGAGGTTGCAGTGAGCCGAGATCGCGCCATTGCACTCCAGCCTGGGTAACAAGAGTGAAACTCTGTCTCAAAAAAAAAAGAATTGAAAAATGGTTATGACATTATTCACATTTCTAGGGTTTCTCTACCATTGAATTATCTTGTTTAGTAAGAGTTGAGGACTGGCTAAAAGTTTTGTCACACTCTACATATTTGTAAGGTTTTTCTCCAATATGAATTTTCTTATGTCTAGTAAGGTTTGAGAATTGGTTGAAAGCATTGCCACATTCTTCACATTTCTAAAGTTTGTCTTCAGTATAAACTATCTTACGTTGAGTAAGGTCTGAAAACCAGTTAAAAGCTTTGCCGTATTTTTATATTTGTTGGGCTTCTCTCCAGTATGAATAATGTTATGTTCAATAAAATTTGAGGACCAGTTAAAAGCTTTGCCACATTCTTCACATTTGTAGAATTTGTCTCTAATATATCTTACATTCAGTAAGATTTGAGAACCTGTTAGAAGCTTTGCCACATTTTTCATATTTGTAAAGTATCTCTCCAGTATGAATTATCTTATGTTCAGTAGATTTTGAGAAGCACTTAAAAGTTTTGCCAAATTCAGAGGCTGGGCGTGGTGGCTCACGCATGTAATCCAAGCACTTTGGAGGCCAAGGTGGGCGGATCACCTGAGGTCGGGAGTTCAAGACCAGCCTGACCAACATGGTGAAACCCCCTCTTAAAAAAAAAAAAAAAATGGGCCAGGCACGGTGGCTCAAGCCTGTAATCCCAGCACTTTGGGAGGCCGAGGCGGGTGGATCACGAGGTCAAGAGCTCGAGACCATCCTGGTCAACACGGTGAAACCCCGTCTCTACCGAAAATACAAAAAATTAGCTGGGCATGGTGGCGCGTGCCTGTAATGCCAGCTACTCAGGAGGCTGAGGCAGGAGAATTGCCTGAACCCAGGAGGCGGAGGTTGCGATGAGCCGAGATCGCGCCATTGCACTCCAGCCTGGGTAACAAGAGCGAAACTCCAACTCAAAAACAAAAAAAAAAAAAAAAAAAAAAAAAAAGTTTTGCCAAATTCTTTGCATTTGTAGCATTTCTCTACAGTATAAATTATTTTATGTTGTGTAAGGTTTGAGGACTGGCTAAAAGCTTTGCCCATTCTTCACATTTGTAGTGTTTGTCTCTAGCATGAATTATCTTACATTTAGTAAAATTTGAAGAGTGATTAAAAGTTCTGCCACATTCCTCACATTTGTAGGGTTTCTCTTTAGTATGAATTATCTTATGTTCAGTAAGATATAAGAACTGGTTAAAAGTTTTGCCATATTATTCACATTTGTGGAGTTTATCGTTTTTGAGAATTCTCTCATTTTGAGTAAGAGCTGAGCAATGGCAATGGTTAGAAACTTTACACATTTATTACATTTGTAGGGTTTTTCTCCAGTATCAATTATTTTATGTGTATTAAGGTGTGAGGACTGGTTAAAGGCTTTGCCATGTTCTTCACGTTTGTAGGGGTTCTCTCCAGTATGATTTATGTTTAGTAAGATTTGAGAAATGGTTAAAAGCTTTGCCGCATTGTTTACATTTGCAGGGTTTCTCTCCAGTATGGATTGTTTTCTTGCTAGTATGGTTTGAGGACTGGTTAAAAGTTTTGCCACATTCATCACATTTGTAGGGTCTGTCTCTAGTATAAATTATCTTATGTGTACAAAGCTTTGTAAAATGGTTGGAAGCTTTGCTACATTTTCAATTTTTTAAGTGTTCTCTGCAGTATGAATTATCTTATGTTTAGTAAGAGCTGAAGGATGGTTAAAAGCTTTGCCACATTCTTCACATTTGTAGAGATTTGCTCCAGTATGAATTGCTTTATGTCTAGTAAGATGTGAGGACTGCTTAAAAGTTTTGCCACATTCTCCACATTTGTAGGGTTTCTCTCCAGTATGAATTCTTTTATGTTTCATAAAGGTTGACAGATTATTAAAAGCTTTGCCACATTCTTCACATTTGTAGGGTTTCTCTCCAGTATGAATTATCTTATGTTTTCTAAGGGTTGAGGACTGGCTAAAAGCTTTGCCACATTCTTCACATTTGTAGGGTTTCTTTCCAGTATGAATTATCTTATGTTTTTTAACGCCTGAGAAATGGTTAAAAGCTTTGCCACATTCTTCACATTTGTAGGGCTTCTCTCCAGTATGAATTACCTTATGTGCAGTAAATTTTGAGCACCACTTAAAAGCTTTGCCACATTCTTCACATTTGTAGGGTTTCTCTCCCGTATGAATTCTTTTATGTGTAGTAAGATTTGAGAACTGGTTAAAAGCTTTGCCACATTTTTCACATTTGTAGAGTTTCTCTCTAGTATGAATTATCTCATGTTTTCTAAGGGTTGAGGACAGGCTAAAAGCTTTGCCACATTCTTCACATTTGTAGGGTCTCTCTCCAGTATGAATTCTTTTATGTCTAGTAAGGTGTGAGGACTGCTTAAAAGCTTTGTCACATTCTTTACATTTGTAGGGTTTCTCCCCAGTATGAATTCTCTTATGTTTTGTAAGGGTTGAGAGATTGTTAAAAGCTTTGCCACATTCTTCACATTTGTAGGGTTTCTCTCCAGTATGAATTATCTTATGTTTTCTAACGCCTGAGAAATGATTAAAAGCTTTACCACATTCTTCACACTTGTAGGGCTTCTCTCCGGTATGAATTACCTTATGTGCAGTAAGTTTTGAGGACCATTTAAAAGCTTTGCCACATTCTTCACATTTGTAGGGTTCCTTTCCAGTATGAATTCTCTTATGGTCAGTAAGATTTGAAGACTGGTTAAAAGCTTTGCCACATTCTTTACATTTGTAGGGTTTCTCTCCAGTATGAATTATTTCATGTTTTCTAAGGGTTGAGGACTGGCTAAAAGCTTTGCCACATTCCTCACATTTGTAGGGCTTCTCTCTGGTATGAATTACCTTATGTGCAGTAAGTTTTGAGGACCACTTAAAAGCTTTGCCACATTCTTCACATTTGTAGGGTTTGCCTTCAGTATGAATTATCTTATGTTTAGTAAAGGTTGAGAACCATTTGAAGGCTTTGCCACATTCTTCACATTTGTAGAAATTCTCTCTAGTATAAATTATCTTATGTTGAATTAATTGTGAAAGCATGAAAAATAATTTGCCACATATTATACATCTGAAAGTTTTCTTTTTAGTGTGTCTAATCTTATTTCTAATCGAATTTGAATAGTTATGAAAGACTTTCATATGTTTATTACACTGAAATATTTTTCTCTGGGTAGCTGATGAACATTGGTTAAGTTTATTATAACCTCCTTTGGGTATCTTATCCTCATTCACACTTTTACAGTTCCTTCTTAATTGTAAATTCTTATGGCCACATCTCGTATATGTTCTCAGTATTACTTTTTGGAAAGAATCTTTAATGCTCTGCTCTGGCCAAACGTCTAGTGTAAAATGAGAACACATAGCTGAAAGAAAAGAAAATAAATTATTCCACTTGCTAGACTCAGATAAATATACTTTACAAATCTAACCTATAAAATTATAGAAACCACATAAGCAAGATGGCGCAGCAAAATAAGACGGCCCTAATTTCTTCACAGACATATAAATGTAACAAAAACATACTGACCAAAATACATTTGAGGAAAATTTATAAATGAGTTAATTTGTGCAGTACCCCAAGTAAGCGCAATGCAAAGAACCACAGAGAACAAAAGAGAAGTCTATTATAGTTTCCCAACTCAGCTCTTCCTTCTTCCAAAACCAACAGTGTCTTTCAAAGTAAATTGCTGGCTGGAAATCGCAGCGTACACCTGTAATCCCAGCACTTTTGGAGGCCAAGGCAAGTGGATTTAAACTTGGAGGCTGAAACAATGAATTGAAACTATACCTTCGAACAAATGTCCTTTTTTTTTTTTAACCTGAGCTCAAGAGTCCAAGACCAGCTTGACTTCTTTTTTTTTTTTTTTTTAACCTGAGATCAAGAGTTCAAGACCAGTTTGGTCAAAATGAAAAAATTTCATCTCTACTAAAAATTCAAAAATTAGCCATGTGTGGTGGCACATGTCTATAGTCCCAGCTACTCAGGAGGCTGAGGCAATCACTTGAATTCGGGATCTAGAGATTGCATTGAGATGAGATCTTGCTGCTGCACTCCAGCCTGAGTGACAGAGCAAGACTCTGTCTCAAAATAATAATAATAAAAATTTGCCAACTCCTGGTTTCTTTTTAAAGACAAGTAAAATAATGGCACATACATATTTATTTCTAGCTTCTATGGGCTTTTGCAGAAACTGGCTTTTGTCTCTCAGGACATAAAGTGCTGGAAAAAATGATGGCATACTTTAAAATCACAACTTTAGTCTGCTGAGACCAAAGTTAAATGTTACAGCAGCAGAGACTGCAGTGCCACGGGTGTGTTGGGGGGTGAGAATTAGATGTAACAAGTGATTATTGAGAAGAAACATGAATAACGTTCTTTAGCTAAAATAAATAAATAAAAATAAAAACAAAATTTCAGATAAGATGCATTCTAAGAACTCTTTTGAGAGATTCCCAGAATCTCTAGCCAAGACAGTTGGTTTCAGACTATCCCAGGACAAGGCTACATTATGAAGACTGTAACAGGTAGCTTTCTTGATGTAAAAAAAATTTTTTTTTTTTTTTTGAGACGGAGTTTCATGTTACCCAGGCTGGAGTGCAATGGCACGATCTCGGCTCACCGCAACCTCCGCCTCCTGGGTTCAGGCAATTCTCCTGCCTCAGCCTCCTGGGTAGCTGGGATTACAGGCACGCACCACCATGCCCAGCTAATTTTTTGTATTTTTAGTAGAGACGAGGTTTCACCATGTTGACCAGGATGGTCTCGATCTCTTGACCTCGTGATCCACCCGCCTCAGCCTCCCAAAGTGCTGGGATTACAGGCTTGAGCCACTGCGCCCGGCCTAAAAATTTTAATTAATGATTACAATGTGTATAAAATACTAGGCAACATGGCCCAATAAAAAAAATATATAAAAATTTTAGAAAGCAACATAAAAATATGAAGATAAATAATTTAAAGATTTTCAAATAAATTGAATAATACTTAATGAAAGAAACAGGAACTCAGACCATTATTAAAAAATTCGAAAATGTGAACACCTTTTCTCCTAATGGCCTCAGGTATTTCATGAAAATGGCTTGCTATTCACCTAAGCCAGAGAGCACCACAATATTATGCTAAACAAGAGGTTTATAAGAGCTATTCTTTTTTTTTTTTTTTTAAGAAGAACACTGTATAATAGTAAAAGGCCTTGTCCAGCAGAAAGATACCACAATCCTATCCCTGTATGCTCCTTCTCCTGGGTTCAGGCAATTCTCTTGCCTCAGCCTCCTGAGTAGCTGGGATTACAGGCACGTGCCACCATGCCCAGCTAATTTTTTGTATTTTTAGTAGAGACGGGGTTTTACCAAGTTGACCAGGATGGTCTCGATCTCTTGACCTCGTGATCCACCCGCCTCGGCCTCCCAAAGTGCTGGGATTACAGGCTTGAGCCAGAGCTATTCTTATATCAGACAAAATAAACTTTACAGCAACAGCAGTTAAAAAAGACAAAGAAGAACACTGTATAATAGTAAAAGGCCTTGTCCAGCAGAAAGATACCACAATCCTAAACATATATGCACCTAACAGAAGATCCCAAATTTATAAAACAATTACTAGAAGACCTAATAAATGAGATAGACAGCAACACAATAATAGTGGGGACTTCAATTCTCCATTGACAGCACTAGACAGGTCATCAAACAGAAAGTCAAGAAAGAAACAATGGATTTAAACTATACCTTGGAACAAACAGAGTTAACAGATATATATAGAACATACCAGTCAACAACTGCAGAATACACATTCTATTCAACAGTGCATGAAACTTTCTCCAAATAGACCATATAATGGGCCATAAAACAAGCCTCAATAAATTTAAGAAAATTGAAATTACATCAAGCACTCTCTCAGACGACAGTGGAATAAAAATGGAATTCAGCTCCAAAAGGAAACTTCAAAATCATGCAAATACATGTAAATTTAAAAACCTGCTCCTTAATAATATTGCATCAAATACAAAATCAAGATGGAAATTTAGAAATTCTTCAAACTCAACAACGAAAGTGACACAACCTATCAAATCCTCTAGTATACAGCAAAGGTGGTGCTAAAAAGAAAGTTCATAGCCCTAAACATCTACATAAAAAAAACTGAAAGAGCACAAACTGACACTCTAAGGTCACACCTCAAGGAACTAGAGAAACAAGAACAAACCAAACCCAAACCCAGAAGAAAAAAAAAATCAAAATCAGAGGAGAGTAAAATAAAATTGAAACAAGCAAACAAAAAACCAAAAGATAAATAAAACAAAAATCTGGCTCTTTAAAAAGATAAATACCATTGATGGACAATTAGCAAGATTAAACAAGAAAAAAGAAAATCCAGATAACCGCAATGAGAAATGAAATGGGATATATTACAACTGACACCACAGAAATGCAAAATATCATTCAAGGCTACTATGAACATCTTTAAGTATACTAACTAGAAAACCTAAAAGAAATGAATAAATTTCTAGAAAAATAAAACCCATTCAGCTTAAATCAGAAATAGATACACTGAACAGACCAATAACAAGTAGCAAGATTGAAATGGTAATTTAAAAATTACCAAGAAGTGTTCTGCCTGCTTCTGGAGGAGCAAAAAGACTCGTGGTCTAGTTCTTGGATGTCCCTAGCAGCATGGCCTCCCAAATGCCAGTAAGCACTCCCTCCTCAAAAGAAGAAACCAAGACCACCTACTGCTCTGGGACCGGAGGAGACATTAGTCTCTTGCACACTTGCCTAAGAAGGGAGAAGAAAACCAGCAAGAAGCAATTGAACACACTGATGAAGTACGAAATAAAAAAGACAGACTTAATAAGTCAGTGAGGAGATTTTGAAAGTAGAACAGCAACATAAGAAATTCTGCCAACCATTTTTCTCAGAATAAGTCAGAATTGATCGCCATATCAGATCATCAGAATTCATAGCCCTAAACACCTACATCAAAAAAACTGAAAGAGCATGTGCCTCAAGGAACTACAGAAACAAGAACAAACCAAACCCAAACCCAGAAGAAAAAAAATCAAATCCCAAATTTTTGGATAACAACATTTGTCGGGACGGGCGCGGTGGCTCAAGCCTGTAATCCCAGCACTTTGGGAGGCCGAGGCGGGTGGATCACGAGGTCAAGAGATCGAGACCATCCTCCTCAACATGGTGAAACCCCGTCTCTACTAAAACTACAAAAAATTAGCTGGGCATGGTGGCGCGTGCCTGTAATCCCAGCTACTCAGGAGGCTGAGGCAGGAGAATTGCCTGAACCCAGGAGGCGGAGGTTGCGGTGAGCCGAGATCGCGCCATTGCACTCCAGCCTGGGTAACAAGAGCAAAACTCTGTCTCAAAAAAAAAAAAAACAACAAAAACAACATTTGTCAACCATCCACAAGTGTCTGCACTGCTTGGGAAGGAGGATGAAGAGGCACTGTGTTATTTGACCAGAGTTGAAGTGACAGAATTTGAAGATATTAAAACAGGTTGCAGAATAAATTTTTATTTTGATGGTAATCCTTACTTTGAAAATAAAGTTCTCTTCAAAGAATTTCATCTGAATGATAATGGTGACGAATCTTCAAAGTCCACCAAAATTAAATGGAAATTTGGAAAGGATTTGATGAAATGTTCATGTCAAATGCAGAATAAAGCCAGCAGGACGTGGCAGCACGAGTAACCAGAGAGCTTCTTTACCTGGTTTACTGACCATTCTGATCCAAGTGATGATGAGTTAGGAGAGGTCATCAAAGTTGATATTTGGCCAAACCCACCACAGTACTACTCTTCTTTCTCGATATGGATGATGAAGGAGGAGAAAAAGATGTTGATAATAGTAGAGGAGGAAGGATTAGAAAATATTGATGAGAAAGGGGATGAGGGAAGAGGATAAAAGTGAAAAAGATGAAGATAATGATGAAGGGGAAGAAGGAGAGAAGGATAAAAAAGATGACGACCATTAGAACACTGACAGATACTAACCTTCTCTACACCATGGTTCTCAACTTATTTTGGGCGAAATACCTTGAGCAGAACACAATGGGAAAAGAGTTTCTACCCCTTTCTGTTGAAAATTCATTTTAATCCCTTTCTGTCTGAACAAAATCTGTAGGGAATCATCACCATCAAGCTCTGTGGGAAAATATGAACAGTTAGCATTTACCAACATGTATCTGTCTACTTTCTCTTGTTAAAACAAACAAACAAACAAAAAAAACAAACCTTCAAAAAATGGAGTTATAGAAAGTAAGCAAAGGGTGGTTTTGAGATGTTTGAGTAGGTTAGGTGGATATTTTGACAACATGGCTTCTCCTTTGGCATGTTTAATTGTGATATTTGACAGATCTCCTTGCAGTTTAAGATGACTTTTTTTTTTTTGAGATGGAGTATTGCTCTGACACCAGGCTGGAGTGCAGTGGCACAATCTTGGATCACTGCAACCTCTGCCTCCTGTTTCAAGTGATTCTTCTATCTCAGCCTCCCAAGTACCTGGGACTACAGGTGTACAGCACAACCCCTGGCTAAATTTTGTATTTTTTTTTAGTAGAGATGGGGTTTCATCCTGTTGGTCAGGGTGGTCTCAATCTCTTGACCTCATGATCTGCCCACCTCGGCCTCCCAAAGTGCCAGAATTACAGGCATGAGCCACCGTGCCCAGCCTAAGATGACATTCTTAAAATAAATTCTCTCCACATGATGACTTAAGCTCTGCCACTCAATGGGAGAAGCAGCAGAAACTGTAGAATCTTATTTGGAATTGGCATTCTCTATTGTAATTTTATTTCTGTTTATTTTTAAATTTTCTTTTTGTTTCACCAGAAAGGAAAGATGATGCTCTGTTTTAAATGTTACAACTATACAAGCTGCTTTCTTACAATAAGAGTAAATGTGTACAAAAAAATTACCAACCAAAAACAGTCTAGGGCCAGACAGATTTATAGCAGAATTCTACCAGACACTGAAAAAAGAATTTGTACCAATTCTATTGACACTATTCCAAAAGTCAGAGAAAGAGGGGCCCTTTCTAATTCATTCTATGAAGCCAGCATCACCCTAATACCAAAACCAGAAAAGGGCATTAACCAAAAAAGAAAACCACAGACTGATGTCCCTGATGAAAATAGATGCTAAAATCCTTAAGAAAATACTGGCTAACTGAATGCAAAAACATATCACAAAGAATCCACCATTATCAAGTGGGTTTCATACCAGTGATGCAGAAATGGTTTAACATACGCAAGTCAGTAAATGTGATACACCACATAAAAAGAAAAATAAATAAAAACAAAAATCACATGATCTTCTCATTAGATGCAGAAAAAGCATTCAACAAAATTCAGCATTCCATATAATAAAAGCCATCTATAACAAACCCCAAGCCAAAATAATACTGAATGAGGATAAGTTGAAAACATTCCCTCTGAGAACTGGGACAAACAAGGATGCCCATTCTCACCATGCCTCTTCAACCCAGTACGGGAAGTCCTACACAGAGCAAGCAGAAAATAGAAATAAATAGCATCACTTTCAAAACCCTAGACTTTTCAATAAAGCTCCTAGAGGCAATAAAATAAGTGAGCAAAGTTTTCAGATACAAAATTGATGTATACAAATCAGTAGCACTTCTAGACACCAACAGTGACAAAGCAGACAGTCAAATCAAGAACTCAGCCCCTTTTACAATAGATGTGAAAACAAAACAAAAAACAAAAATAATCTTAGGAATATACCTAACCAAGGAGGCAAAAGACAAGAAAAACTACAACATGCTGCTGAAAGAAGATATATTTATATATCTTCCAGTTAGTTATTCTATATCTTCCAGTTAGAAATAACTAACTGGAAGATACAGAAATATAATTTTTGTATTCAATTAAAATTGTTATGAGATAAAAACATATTAATCTACTCTTAAGATGTTTTGCATAATGTCCATTTTTCAAGATAACTACAAAAATTTTGTAGGAACTATGCAAAATAAACTGAAAGAATAAGCAAAGCATGCCACCATGAAATTTAAAAAGTCAGTTAAACAAGAAAGCAAAAAAAAAATATATACAAAAAACACATAAAACATAACAATGGGCCGGGCACGGTGGCTCATGCCTGTAATCCCAGCACTGGGGGAGGACGAGGCGGGTGGATCACGAGGTCAAGAGATCGAGACCATCCTGGTCAACATGGTGAAACCCCGTCTCTACTAAAAATACAAAAATTAGCTGGGCATGGTGGTGCATGCCTGTAATCCCAGCTACTCAGGAGGCTGAGGCAGGAGAATTGCCTGGACCCAGGAGGCGGAGGTTGCGGTGAGCCGAGATCGCGCCATTGCACTCCAGCCTGCGGAACAAGAGTGAAACTCTGTCTCAAAAAAAAAAAAAAAAAAACATAACAATGAAAGTGGTATGTAAATTTAAGAAATCAATTTAAATGTAGATTTATTAAACTACTTAACAAAAAGAAATGTAATTCCAGGACTTTGCGAGGCCCAGGGGGGCTAATTATTTGATTCCAGGAGTTTGAGACCAGCCTGGGCAACATACCAAAAGCCTGTCTCTACAAAAAAAAAAAAAAAAAAAAGAAAACAAAAGAAAAAAGAAAAAAAGAAAACAAACAAACAAAAACAAAAAACCTAGTTGGGTTTTTAACGGCATGTGCCTGTAACCCAGCTAGTTGAGAGGGTGAAATGAGAGGATTATCTGAGTTTGAGAGGCTGAGGCTGCAGCTCACTGCCATAATCATACCATTGTAAACCAGCCTGGTTGATAGAGTGAGATGCTATTTTATTAATTTATTAATTAATTCAAAGGAAAAGAAATAAGATGCCTGAGTGGCTTAAGAAAAGAAGCATACAATCTGTTCTCTACAAGAGAACAATTTTAGCAATAAGTCAAATAGGCTGTAAGTAATACAATAAAAAAAAAAATCTATATTTCATGCAAATAGCCACAACTGGATGAGGTAATCATAATTATATTGGACATAATATGATTTAAGTACTAGTATGAGGCAAAGATTGCTATTATGTAATAGTAAAATGGGTTAATTTAACAAGATCTATTACTACTATATTTATATGTACAGGTATGTATAACAACAGGGCTCCAAAATATATAAATATGGACAAAGATGAAGCAAGAAATACATAGCAACATTAATAGTTGTAGACACTGAGATCTCATTTTCAACAAATAAACAGAAAATTCATATAAAAGAATAAGAAAATGGAAAATATAGATAACATTATAGATTGTATGATTCTGTATATAGAGAAATATCTGAGTAGATAATTCATAAAAAAATAATTTACATAAAAAAGATTTATTTAGCTCACAGTTTGGCAGACTGTAGAAGAATGTGCCAGCATCTGTTTTTGGTTAGGGTCCCAGGGAGCTTACAATCATAGTGGAAGACAAAGAGTAACTAGACATATCACATGGTAAGAGACAAAGCAAATGTGAGGTAAAAGAGCCAGATTCCTTTAACATGGTTTTTCAAAACTATTTAGATATCTGTGTGTCCCCAATGACAATGAAAAAGCAGTCAGATTGTACAGTGCCTTGTATGGCATGAACACAACTTTGGCTCTCATTGTAAACTTGAAAGGAGATCACCAAAAAGAAAATAGAATCCTTAGAGAATTTTAAAGCATAAAACAGAAGATGCCCCTATGTGAGAGTCAAATTAAAAAAAAATCTCAGTCTTCCCAGAAACTACTTCCTTTGGAACATAGCTTCCTAGGTCACATTTTGAGAACTGCTATTTTCTTGACTTCTAGACCTCTCATCTGTGTTGTCTGTTGTATTTGCTCTCACATACCTGGAGGCTTAGTTACCATCTCATGTCTCCTTATATTCCAAGGCTCTTTTCCTTGCTTCAGACAAGTTATCAAGTCTGGCTTAGAGACAGCAATACCTGTTTTATTAAAAACAAATAACATAAATATTGCTCACATTACTCAAATAATGTGCTCATTAAAGAGAGAATATAATATTCTAGTAAATTAATTCCCCAATACTAATTTATAATAAAAATTTCTAAATATTTAGAAAATATTTTAAATTTGTACAGGTCCTTAATTTTACTAACACTACTGAATCAAAAATTGGCGGTGGCAATGAGATTTTAAGGTGTGGGCAACTATTTTTTATGCCACTAAACTTCTGGAATTTCCTATAATCTAGAGTGAAAAATATAGATCTGAAAAACACAGATCTACTCAGAAATATGGAAAGTTCAGGTAAAAATAAAATATCTTTAAAAAATTTATTTCTTTACTTATAAATCCCTGTTTTCAGAAAAAAAGGATCTGCAACTCATTTATGCTAAGCATAAATCACCAAAACACATTCTAGAGAAAACAGAAATGAAACCTATAGAATAGAAATTGTTTAATTAAAATTATCCTTACCCAGGAAGACCAGGTTTCTGTAGTTCTCTAACATAACTTCTCTATATAAATTCTGCTGAGTCTTGTCCAGGCATTGCCACTCCTCCAGAGTGAATTCTATGGTCACATCATTAAATGTCAATTGTCCCTGAAAAACACAACAAAAGACACACATATTTCCTAAGTGGCCATGGGCGGAATTTTTAATTTGACTCAATTTAAAATGAGAGAGTAAAGAGAACAGTTTCTAACTTACAGGGATAACTGAATATATCCAATAAAATAATTTTCAACACAGAAATATTCTCTAATGTATTCCCAAACTCAGAAAAAAGAATGGCATAAGAGCCACAACACTTGTGTATATAAGATACTTTCTGGCTAAAAGAGTATAAAGTTAAGGGCATGATAACAAACATGTCCATTTTTGAGTGCCATATATATATATATCTTTTTTTTTTTTTTTTTTTTTTTTTTTTAATTTTTTTTGAGACGGAGTTTCACTCATGCTACCCAGGCTGGAGTGCAATGGCACGATCTCGGCTCACCGCAACCTCCGCCTCCTGGGTTCAGGCAATTCTTCTGCCTCAGCCTCCTGAGTAGCTGGGATTACAAGCACGCGCCACCACGCCCAGCTAATGTTTTGTATTTTTAGTAGAGACGGGGTTTCACCATGTTGACCAGGATGGTCTCGATCTCTTGACCTTGTGATCCACCCGCCTCGGCCTCCCAAAGTGCTGGGATTACAGGCTTGAGCCACCGCGCCCGGCCTTTATATCTTTTATTGTATTTGGGCTCTGGGGTACATGTGCATCACGCAGGATTGTTCCTTAGGTACATACAAGCCATGGTGGTTTGCTATCTCCATTCGTCCTCCCCCTCATCATTTACATCGGGCATTTCTCCTGGTGTTATCGCTCCCCATCCTCCCTGCCCCTCCTCACTGTCCCTCCCCTCTCCTCCCCTCCCCTCCACTCCCCCACCTAGCCCTGTGACTGTTGTTCCCTTCCCTGTGCCCAAGTGTTCTCATTGTTCATCAACTGCCTAAGAGTGAAAACATGCAGTGTTTGGTTTTCTGTTCTTGTGTCAGTTTGCTGAGAATGATAGTTTCTAGATTCATCCATGTCTCTACAAAGGGCATGAACTCGTTGTTTTTCATGGCTGCATAGTATTCCATGGTGTATATGTGCCATATTTTTTTTTGTCCAGTCTATCATCAATGAGCATTTGGGTTGGTTCTAAGTCTTTGCTATTGTAAACAGCACTGACATGAACATACATGTACATGTGTCTTTATAACAGAAAAATTTATAATCCTTTGGGTATATACCCAGTAATGGGATTGCTGGGTCAAATGGAATTTCTGTTTCTAGATCCGTGAGGAATCACTACACTGTCTTCTATAATGGTGGAACTAATGTACACTCCCATCAACAGTGTAAAAGTGTTCCTTTTTCTCCACATCCTCTCCAGCATCTGTTATCTCCAGATTTTTTAATGATCACAATTCTAACTGGCGTGAGATGGTATCTCAATGTGGTTTTGATTTGCATTTCTCTAATGACCAATGATGATGAGCATTTTTCCATATGTTTTTTGGCCACATATTTCCCTTCTTTTGAAAAGCCTCTGTTCATAGCCTTCACCCACTTTTATTGGGTTTGTTTTTTTCTTGTAAATCTGCTTTAGTTCTTTGTAGATTCTGGATATTGGCCCTTTGTCTGATGAGTAGATTGCAAAAATTTTTCCCATTCTGTTGGTTGCTGGTTTACTCTAATGATTGTTTCTTTTGCTGCGCAGAAACTCCTAAGTTTAATTAGATCCCATTTGTCTATTTTGGCTTTTGTTGCCATTGCTTTTGGTATTTTGGTCATGAAGTCTTTACCTGTGCCTATGTCCTAAATGGTGTTGTCTAGGTTTTCTTCTAGGGTTTTTACGGTGTTAGTTCTTATGTTTAAATTTTTAATACACCTGGAGTTAATTTTTGTATAAGGTGTAAGGAAGGGGTCCAGTTTCAGCTTTCTGCATATGGCTAGCTAGTTTTCCTAGCACCATTTATTAAACGGAATCCTTTCCCCATTGCTTGTTTTTGTCTGGTTTGTCAAAGATCAGATGATTGCAGATGTGTGGCATTGCTTCAGAGGCCTCTGTTCTGTTCCATTGGTCTATATCTCTGTTTTGGTACCAGTACCATGCTGTTTTGATTACTGTAGCCTCATAGAATAATTTGAAGTCAAGTAACGTGATGCCTCCAGCTTTGTTTTTTTTTGCTTAGAATTTTCTTGGCTATGTGAACTCTCTTTTGGTTCCATATGAAGTTTAAAGCAGTTTTTTCCAGTTCTGTGAAGAAGGTCAATGGTAGCTTGATGGGGATAACATTGAATCTATAAATTACTTCAGGCAGTATGGCTATTTTCACAATACTGATTCTTCCTAACCATGAGCATGGAATGTTTATCCGTTTGTGTCATCTCTTATTTCCTTGATCAGTGGTTTGTAGTTCTCCTTGAAGAGATCTTTTACATCCTTTGTTAGTTGTATTCCTAGATATTTTATTCTTTTTGTAGCAATTGTAAATGAGAGTTCGCTCATGATTTGGCTGTTTGTCTGTTATTGGTGTACAGGAATGCTTGTGATTTCTGCACATTGATTTTGTATCCTGAGACTTTGCCAAAGTTGCTTATCAGCTTAAGGAGGTTTTGGGCTGAGAAAATGGGGTTTTCTAAATATACATTCATGTTGTCTGCAAATGGGGACAATTTGACTTCTTGTCTTCCTAATTGAATACCCTTTATTTCTTTTTCTTGCCTAATTGCTCTAGCTAGAACTTCCAATACTATATTGAATAGGAGTGGTGAGAGAGGGCACCCTTGTTAAGTGCCAGTTTTTATAGGGAATTCTTCTAGTTTTTGCCCATTCAGTATGATATTGGCTGTGGGTTTATCATAAATATCTTCTATTGTTTTGAGATACATTCCATCAATACCTAGTTTATTGAGAGTTTTTAGCATAAAGGGCTGTGGAATTTTGTCAAAGAACTTATCTGTGTCTATTGAGATAATCATGTGGTTTTTGTCTTTGGTTCTGTTTATGTGGTGAATTATGTTTATAGAATTATGTATGTTGAAGTAGCCTTGCATCCCTGGGATGAAGTCTACTTGATCATGGTGGATAAGCTTTTTGATGTGCTGTTGGATTTGGTTTGCCACTATTTTATTGAAGATTTTTTGCATCCATGTTCATCATGGATATTGGCCTGAAGTTTTCTTTTTTAGTTATGTCTCTGCCAGATTTTGGTATCAGGATGATGTTGGTCTCATAGAAAGAGTTAGGGAGGTTTCCCTCTTTTTGTATTGTTTGGAATAGTTTCAACAGGAATGGTACCAGCTCCTCTTCTTTGTATGTCTGGTAGAATTTGGCTGTGAACCCATCAGGACCTGGACTTTTTTTTGGTTGGTAGGCTATTAATTGCTGCCTTGACTTGAGACCTTGTTATTCGTCTATTCAACGTTTCAACTTTTTCTTGGCTTATTCTTGGGAGTGTGCAAGTGTCCAGGAATGTATCCAATTCTTCCACGTTTACTGGTTTATGTGCATAGAGTTGTTTGCAGTAATCTCTGATGGTAGTTTGGATTTCTGAGGAATTGGTGGTGATCTCTTTATCATTTTTTATTGCATCTATTCGATTGTTCTCTCTTTTCTATTAGTCTAGCTAGCAGTCTATTTTGTTGATCGTTTCAATAAACAAGCTCCTGGGTTTATTGATATTTTGAAGAGTTTTTTATGTCTCTATCTCCTTCAGTTCTCCTCTGATCTTAGTTATTTCTTGTCTTCTGCTTGCTTTTGAGTTTTCTTGATCTTGCTCCTCTAGCTCTTTCAATTTTGACAATAGGGTGTCGATTTTAGATCTTTCCTTGTTTCTCATGTGGGCATTTATTGCTATAAATTTCCTTCTAGACACTGCTTTAAATGTGTCCAATAGGATCTGGTATGTTGTGTCTTCATTGTCAATGGTTGTAAAGAACACTTTTATTTCTGCCTTCATTTCATTGTTTATCCATTCATCATTTAGGAGCAAGTTGTTCAGTTTCCATGAGTTCTAATTTGATTATGCTGTGGTCTGAGAGACTGTTTGTCATGATTTCCGTTCTTCTGCATTTGCCAAGGAGTGATTTGCTTCCAAATATGTGGTCAATTTTGGAGTAAGTGCAATTTGGTGCTGAGAATAATGTGTATTCTGTGGATTTAGGGTGAAGTGTCCTGTAAATGTCTATAAGGTTTGCTTGGTCCAAATCTGCGTTCAAGTCCTGGATATCCTTGTTGACTTTCTGCCTTGTTGGTCTGTCCAATATTGTCCATGGAGTGTTAAAGTCTCCCACTATTATTGTGTGGGAGTCTAAGTCTCTTTATAGGTCATTAAGAACTTGCTTTATGTATCTGGGTGCTCCTGCATTAGGTGCATATATATTTAGGATAGTTAGCTCTTCTTGTTGCATTGATCCTTTTACCATTATGTAATGCCATTCTTTGTCTCTTTTGATCTTTGTTGGTTTAAAGTCCATTTTATCAGAGACTAGGATTGCTACCCCTGCTTTTTTTTTGCTTTCCATTTGGTTGGTATATCATTTCCATCCCCTTGAGTCTATGTGAGTCTCTGCATGTGAGATGGGTCTCCTGAATACAGCACACCAATGGGTCTTGACTTTTTATCCACTTTGCCAGTCTGTGTCTTTTGATTGGGGCATTTAGGCCATTTACATTCAATGTTGATATTGTTATGTTTGAATTTGATCCTGCTATTTTGTTACTGGTTGGTTGTTTTGCCTGTTAGTTGACGTGGCTTCTTCATTGTGTCATTGTTCTTTACCATTTGGTACATTTTTGCAGGGTCTGGTACTGGTTGTTCCATTTCCTGTTTAGTACTTCCTCAGCACCTCTTATAACACAGGTTTTGTAATGACGAAATCTCTCAGCAATAGCTTGTCCATAGAGGATTTTATTTCTCCTTCACTTATGAAGTTTAGTTTGGCCAGATATGAAATTCTGGGTTGACAGTTCTTTTCTTTAAGGATATTGAGTATTGGACCCCACTCCATTCTAGCTTGTAGGGTTTCTGCTGAGAGATTCGTGTGAGTCTGATGGTCTTTCCTTTGTGAGTGACTCGACCTTTCTCTCTGGCTGTCCTTAGGATCTTTTCCTTTATTTCAACCCTGGTGAATCTGACAATTATGTGTCTTGGGGTTGCTCTTCTTGAGGAATATCTTTGTAGTGTTCTCTGTATTTCCTGAATTTGAATGTTGGCCTGCCTTGTTAGGTTGGGAAAGTTCTCTTGGATAATATCTTGAAGAGTGTTTTCCAACTTGGATTCATTCTTCCCATCACATTCAGGTATGCCGATCAAGCGTAGATTAGGTCTTTTCATATAATCCCATAGGTCTTGAAGGCTTTGTTCGTTTTTTTCATTCTTTTTTTCTCTAATTTTGCCTTCTTATTTTATTTCATTGGTTTGATCTTCTGTCTCTGATATCCTTTCTTCTGCTTGATTTGGCTATTGAAACTTGCTTTCAACACAAGTGCTCATGCTGTGTTTTTCAGCTCCATCAAGTTGTTTATGTTCTTCTCTAAGCTGGTTATTCTAGTTAGCATTTCATCTAACCTTTTTTTCAAAGTTCTTAGTTTCTTTGCACTGGGTTAGAACATAATCTTTTAACTCAGAGAAATTTGTTATTACGTACCTTCTGAAGCCTACTTCTATCAATTCATCAAAATTACTTCTGTCTTTTTTGTTCCCTTATGGTGAGGAGTTGTGATCTCTGGAAGGAGAAGAGGCATTCTGTCCTTTGATGGTTTCATCCTTTTTGCACTGCTTTTTTCCCATCTTCATGGATTTATCTCCCTTTGATCTTTGAAGTTGGTGATTTCATGAGGAGTCTCTGAGTGGATGTTTTTTCTGTTGAGGTTGGAGCTATATCTTTTTTGGCCTGTAGAGGGCGTTGCTAGGCTCTCAAGTTGAGTCAGGTTGTTGGGTGGGTGGTCCTTTCCTGGATTTTGTTTGCAGGTGAGATCGGCCCCGCCTTCCCAATGGCATCTCTCCCAGAGCTTGATCTTCCCAGTTGGGGTCAAACTAGTGTATTTGCTGCCAAGCTCTCTAGCAAGGGCTTTAGTTTAAGTTCTGGGGAGGTGGGGCCTGCCAGGCCTTATGGTCTGTTTTCATGCTTTCAACTCTGCCTCCCTCTGTGGGACAGTCTGTTTCACTGGCAATAGTCCAAACTCCCACCCAGGTCCATGTGACAACTTGCCACACCCGGCAGAAGCTGCTGCTCAAATTTGCATTGGCAACCCACAGTGCCCCACAGTCTGGTAGGGCTCTCGTGGACCGTGAGTTGTAGGAGGGATGGGGTAAGCATAGGATCTGAATAGGAGCACTGAGGGGGTGAAGTCCCCTGACCCGCTGAGCTGGCTGCACGTTTCAGGTAGGGACACGCCCCCCCATGTCTTGATTTGCCCCCCTGGACAGCTTTCTCCCTGCAGTTTCTTCCCTGGGCTATTTTCAGTGCCCTATCACTCCCACTGAAATGAACCCAGCACCTTATTTGGAATCATGAAGTCTTCTAGCCCTGTGTCTCATTCACTGGGAGCTGCATTCCGATGTTGCCTTCTTATGGCCATATTGGTGCCAACTGCTAGATTTACATAATCAGAATAAGTCTTGTATATTTTTCAGATCAAAAAGGCATATTGAATTAGAAGACAACTCTCAAATTTTAATGTGTACAATTAACTGGAGATATTGTTATGCATATTTATTTTAAAACATCTAGAATAAAGTCTGAGTTTCAGAATTTCTGACAAACTCACTGTAATGCCTGTTTTTCGCCCAAAAAGAACCTTTTGTCAAACATTCAGCAAGTGAAGGAGCCTGTGTTTTCCCCAGTTTTTCTGGCCTGTAAACAAAGATAAGAGTCCTAATTTTTCAAAGACATATGCAAATAAAATCTAAGAAAGGTAGGTGCCAGATTAAATGTGATTATTGGTGTATATCAGCTGCATAGAGATACTTAATAATGAAGAGAAAAATGATTAACTCTATCGTGAAAATCTGTCAGCTTTTTTTTTTTTTTCCAGAAAAATTACAGGTTTATTTAAAACTTAATTCTCACCTTGATTATGCAAAATACAAACTCCACAAAATGTTCATATTACTTTGTACTTTACAAATATACAAAATAGACATTTGCTTAAATTTATATTACATATTTATTAAGACAAGGAACTCTATAAAAAAAAATTTGTTCTGCTCAAGGCATACTTAAGAATAAACGATTGTACAAATTATTGCACATCTGAAACCACAGAGCATAACAGACTGTCTGCATAAAAATGCTAAAGAAGTTACTTGACAGGTCATAAATGTAGGTCAGAAAACAGATATAGATTTTCCTTGTCAAAGTATGCAGCAGTCTGAAAACTTTTGCTTCCTTGTTTGATACCTTTAGAACCAAGACTGACCAAGCAACATCATTTAGGCTATTTAAACATGTTTTCTGTACCTGAATTTCTTCCTCATCTTCTATCATATCAATACACAATTCAAGGGAATTCTGGTCTTCCCTCCCCAAACTCACATATATAATTTATACCCAGATATCCACAACTTCCAGTCACCCCCTTGATATTTTATAAGTCCAAGAATATTTAAGTCAGATCTAGAATTGGAATGATACAAGATCCAGTCACAGATCCCATCTGTTCCTTGATTTTTGTTTTTTTGATTCTTCCTTTTCCTGATTATACACTCACAAATTAACTCAGTTTGTACTTGACCATTATTGTAGTGCTTTCTGGCTGAACTTTTTCCTTCATTGGGAAGACAGTGTGAGTCATATGTGTAAGGCGAGGTGTTCCAACCTGAAAAATGCTGGGTCGCATTTCTGGTACTGGAAAGGGTGGTGCCCAGTGTGTTTATGGTAGTGCCTGGTATGTACACTTGCACTATGCAATGTTTACTCAGTAGATACTATGTGCTCAAGAGTATGTTACAGAGTACTGTGCTGGGGATAACACATTATATATTTAATGCTCATAACACCCTGGGAGTTAGTAATAAGTACTCTTAGGATTTAGATAAAGGCCCAGCGTTTTTATTTCTTCTTCTGTTTCTCTGTCACTGATTTCTAAAAATGTATAGAATAAAAGCTAAATATAGACAGATGAGAGGAATACAGAAGAGTTTATTACAATTTTTTTAAAAATTCTTTTTTGGGGGTGGGGGATGAAGTCTTGCTCTGTCACCAGGCTGGAGTGCAGTGGTGTGACCTCAGCTCACTGCAACCTCCACCTCCCAGGTTCAAGCAATTCTCCTGCCTCAGCCTCCCAGGTAGCTGGGACTACAGGTATGCACCACCACAACCAGCATTTTTATTACAGACAGGATTTCATATGTTGGCCAGAATGGTCTCAGTCTCTTGACCTTGTGATCTGCCCACCTCAGCCTCCCAAAGTACTGGGATTATAGGTGTGAGCCACTGCACCTGGCCAATTTTTTTTTTTTAATAATTATAGCTTTTATTTATTATATCTTCATTCAATCATTTATTCACAATTTTCTAATTGCATTCTTGATGAATATCTGACTTCATCAAAAGAGTGAATCCACTAGGCAAAGTTCATTTATTTTTCATGATGTTCCTCTTTTGATTTTGAGTCTTTTGTCTCCAGGAGTCCTAAGAGAACTGCATCAGCCTCTAGTATAGTTGTATCTGTTGTTCCTCCCAGGAACCTAGATGTAAGTTCCAGACCTAAGAGCCGCAAGCGGACCTTGGTTCCTTGCTGATATTTCTCTCCATCCACTTCTGGTCTTCTACATACACAATGAAATTTTCCACCAAAATCTATGTAAAGATCATTCTCCACCGATATGAAAGATCCGTCCAATGACCAGTTTATCCTTAGCAGGTCCCATCTGTATAAGAGGAGAATGTCTCAGCATAGATGCGAAAGATTCTACATTTTTTGGAGAGCCCCGCCGGGGCTCCACCTTCTGCAGTACATCCGAGTGCCGCTCCAAGGTGCTTGCGAAGCCGCCTGGGCGCGTCTTAGGCTCCGTGGCATCGGAGCTCCCACTTTCGGATCCGCTGTCAGTCCCTACGCCCGGAAAGGGCCTAAAGAAGAGAAACATTCGCGGAAAATGTCTCTTGGCAGCCACAGGCACGGGTCTGACACAGCGCCGCCATGACTGCTTTACCTCTGACCTTTTCCAATTTTTTTTTTTATTCTAATTTCGTTTATATTTACTTGTTTGTGACTTGTGGAGAAACTATTGGATCTGCAGGAATAGGAAACAAGTTGCTAAATGGAATGTCTCTGCAAGCACTGGTTTTAAAAAAATTAAAAAATTAGAATCCTGAAAGAGATACTTTATTTTTTTCATTTACCTGTTTTTTAGTTTCAAAAAATTGTGAGCACCAGCTCTAGAAATGCAGCAGGGTTCACCAGCCAAAACTCTAATCTCTTTTAATCAGTTCTGTGAGGCAAGACTCCAGGGTGGGACCTAACCTAAATAAGGCCTCCAAAAATGATGGATCCAAACAGAACTAAGCCAGGGAGTGGACCCTATGTAGAATTTTGTTTACAGTGCTACTGAGTGTACTTCCAGTTCTGTTTTTTCTAAGCTTACTTAAGAGAAACTTAAATCCCAGAGTTTGCATAATTTTAATATTTTTCGAGACACCTCCTATTTTATGACATGTACTAATAAGCAATTTAAACAAGTTTTTTAAGGCTCCTAGGGTAGTTGTATTAAAATATATCTGTGTATTTGACCAAGGTAAAAGAAACAGAAATACCAATCCTTCTGTCCATAAACATTCCTTCGGGTAATGACATCAGAAGTCCCAAGAATATAAAGAAAGTAATCCAAATAAAGCGCAAGTGTTTCTGGACACATCTGTTTATTATACCAACCATATGATGATGTTTAATTCCAACCATTTATCCAGTTGCCAGTCTAGACTAAAAGTTTCTGGGTGGTAGAGACGATGACTGCTTCATCTACTTTTTTTAATGGTCATATGAAATGGAAGCTATTAATTTATCTGTTTGAGTCTCAGGACCTCCCTCTTGTTTTTCAGTCAAGTACCAAGAAACTGGAGAAACTCTCTTCTGGGTACCAATCAAATATATCTCTTGTATGAGGGGAGGAACACAGGATGACTCATTTCTCTTATATTGAGATGGAAGCAGAATTAACCACTTATCAGCCTGACACAATTCTGCTCTGGACATCTTCAAATGTCTCAAAGATGCCTAGGTGATTGTGAGAGGGTTTCCAGTGACTCTGGCTAATGGCCCAATAATAAGCCAGGCAGAAGAGACTCGGGCTGATTCTAAATAGAAAATAAAACTGCCCTGGTGAAGCTCTAGAACCTAATTCACTGGTCCTGATTAATTAGCTCTCAAGTAAGAAAAATAAAAAGAATACTCTACACCAGTATCACATTTTACAGGTAAGTATAGTTGTGGTAATGGCTCTGGATACTTTGTGGCCTTGATGTCTCACTCCTAAGATGCCTGTTTATACTTACAGATTCTATCATATCAGATTTTATTTATACCTGGAGTCTCTCACATACCTGCAACAGGTCACTTGAGAAGATCTGAAAAGCTCAAATAGCCACTCTCTCAAAGGAAAGATTTAAGATGTCTATGTTGACATTTCACAATACAGAAAATGTCTTCTGTTGGTTTTCTGTATATTCTCAATTCAAAATCTGGAAGATTTACCTGTCCTGTAAATCTTGGGCAGAGGCCAGACTTTATGTGCAGATTCCAGGTGGGACCAACCTGGCTCTGCATCCTTGGGTGTTACAGCAAGCAGATTACAATCAAAGGAGACAGCCCATCATAGAGGCTGCTCTGGCACATTCTAAATAATATGTCTATCTGGCCAGGTGCGGTGGCTCAAGCCTGTAATCCCAGCACTTTGGGAGGCCGAGGCGGGTGGATCACGAGGTCAACAGATCGAGACCATCCTGGTCAACATGGTGAAACCCCGTCTCTACTAAAAATACAAAAAATCAGCTGGGCATGGTGGCGTGTGCCTGTAATCCCAGCTACTCAGGAGGCTGAGGCACGAGGATTGCCTGAACCCAGGAGGCGGAGGTTGCGGTGAGCCGAGATCGCGCCATTGCACTCCAGCCTGGGTAACAAGAGCGAAACTCCGTCTCAAAAAAAAAAAAAATAAAATATGTCTATCTAAAAGGAAAAAGCTGAGGAAACATAGATATAAGTTGACAGTTTATTTGGGCCAAGCTTGAGAACTGTAACCTGGGAGAAAATATTCAAGTTGCCTGAAGCACACTTGATTAGCAGTTTGATTACAAGTTGATCTGTAAAGAAGAAAAAAGATGGACAGAGAGTGGGTTGATACAAAGTTGTTAGGAAGTTTTATTTATTTACAGGAATAACTGATTATTAATTGGATATACATCAAGGTATAGATTATGAGTTACAGTGTCCAGTGTGGCATTATTGATATATAGCTACTTGTGGAAGTAGAAAGTTAAATAACTATGTATTTAACTTTCGAAGCAAACAGCTTCGAAAGTTAAATACATAGTTCAAAAAACAGAAAAAGAAACAGAATTCTACTCTCATTTTAATGTTTCTTTAAGTTTGACAACTAAAAGGACTTACATCTCTCAGAAAAAAAGGTTTTCTTTTTTTCTCAAATCTGAAGACCTGGATTCAGAATTTGAAGTTGCAGATTTAGGTCCTGAATGAGTGGAGTAGCAACAGGTGTTCCCTGCATATTTGTGGGCATTTTAGCAAGAAAAAAAAGAAAGTAGATATGCTCCTGTGTATATGTCAATGCACACACGTTACTGTGATTGGGTTTCTGGGCCCCATAGTTTGTGAATCAGTTTCAGGTCTGAGGATACAAGAGTCATTGAAAAATGCAAAATTGTTGTTTGTTCCCAGGTGAAGTTTGTAGAATTCTGATGTAGCCTCTCTAAAAGTTACTGTGGAGGACTATAAATACCAAATTGGTAGAGAGACAATTCTGCCTGCAAAGTTAGGGGACAATAGGCACTTTGCAGCATAATTGTGAGTTGACTGATAGCCTGGGAGGGAAAGTTTCCTCTAGAGTAAAGCTTGGTTAGTATCTTATATTTTCATATCATGTCTGGTGCTTCTAGACAGTTTTTGTGAAACATAATTAAAAGACAAATTTTCTTCAGCCCCAGAGAAACTCTACAATAGAACAGACATTTGTGTTATATTACACAATTAAACCTGAATATGACATGCATCACAGTCAATCTGCTTAACAGACTGCAAAGACAGAAATACAGTAACCATAATTGAAAAATTTATAGAAAGTAGAAAAATTAGAGACAGTAGAAATATGGTCATGTAAGCTAATCAGTTATGTTCAATGACAAGATAAACTTTTCACATCTTCATGAAAGGAGGTAATTTTGCAACTTAAAGCCAGGTGCCTGCTAAAGGTAGGCTCTAAATCCCCTACAAAAATGGTTGAATAGGGTGATATCTTTTTGGCTATTTACATTTTAAAGCAATGGCTCTCTACTCCCTGAGCACTGGTCTACAGCTCTCCTGCTTGCCCTCTCCTGTTAGCTGTGTCCTCTCTTGACCCCTACCACCTGCCATTGAGACAGAGCCTACGGCATAGGGCTCACAGCTGAAAGCTCACATCGTACAGAAACAATTGCCATGGCAGCACTTCAGTGTCACCTCAGAGGGTGAACCCTAAGCTGAAAGAAGACAGCCTGCAGGCCTCCAGGGGAGAACTACAGCTTCACAATAATGGAAATTGGAACAGTAATTCAGCCTCAGTTTTTATATACAATGGTGACAGGGAAAAACTACTGCTGGATTTCCAACATGAGTCCAGATAGAGATAGCTCCAAAAGCTTTCACTGGGACAGCCCGCCTCATTCATAGACACCATGGAATACTTATAGTGCAGATGCCCAAAGTATTGGACAGAAAAACAGCTCTCAGTCAGGGTAAGATTATGCTCAGAGAAAAAAACAAGTCAAAAGCATCTTAAGTAAAAACTCAGTTTAAAGATTTATCAAATCAGCCAGAAAACATTCTCTTAAAAGTAGAATTTCTCTCTCAACAAAGTGCATAGCTACTCTCAGCACGAGAAACATGAGCATTATAAAGAAAAGGGGTGAGGGTTGTGAAGCAAACAAGCCTACAGTGCTGGGGCATATTCTCAGCAAAATTTTATAAGGTTTATCTTCTATCTCTGCTGCTCTCTCATCTTCTAGCCATTGAATGGTGGTTCTATATTGAAATACATCTCACAATTTCCACCAGCACTTTTTGATGAAGACTTATAATCTGACTTTGTTTATACAGTGGAATATATTTAAGCTTGCCACATAGCTAACTGAAGAGCTATTGTGGTTTTTGGCTGGCCACATCATCTGTGTTTATTTGTCCTATAATGGCAGCATTCCGATTTAGTGAAAGAAGAGACACTATAAATAGGTCAGGCATGGTGGCTCAAGCCTGTAATCTCAGGACTTTGGAAGGCTGAGGTGGGTGGATCTCCTGAGGTCAGGAGTTTGAGACCAGCCTGGCAAATATGGTGAAACCCTGTCTCTAATACAAATACAAAAATTAGCTGGGTGTGGTTGTGGGTGCCTGTAATCCCAGCTACTTGGGAGACAGGCTGGAGAATTGCTTGAGCCCAGGAGGTGGAGGTTTCAGTGAGCACAGACTACACCACTGCACTCCAGCCTGGGTGACAAAAGCAAAATTCCATTTCAAAAAAAAAAAAAAAGTATAATTATGCTTACCTATAGTTATCCTACTGCATAAGTTAATAAACACGTCAGATTGGGATCTACTTTAACAATTTGGTAGTAAATTTTATTTGTATATTAGAAATAAATATAAATAATTTTAATGTACCAGTCAAAAGGCATGTAAGAATTTTTAAAATTGTCTGTAGCCATAATTTAGTTAAAACACTATATTTCAAAAGTATGAATAGCAATATTAAAATGTCCATTTAATGAGTATTCTATCAAATTAAATATTTTGGCCTTACATTCACACTTCATTGAAGAAAATGCTGTTTAATTTATATGAATGCAAGTTGTCTACAAACACTACATGTAACTATGCTTGCTAGTTGTTCTAAAGTAATAAATTAAAACCAAAGTACAACTACAGAATCTACTGTTGAGTTTAT